CGTCGTCGTCGTCGTCGTCGTAGTAGGAGTAGTAGTAGTAGTAGTAGTGGTAGTGGTAGTGGTAGTAGTAGTAGTAGTAGTAGTCGTGGTGGTGGTGGTGGTGGTGGTGGTAGTGGTAGTGGTATTAGTGGTAGTGGTAGTGGTGGTAGTAGTGGTGGTGGCAGCAGTGGTGGTGGTAGTGGCAGTAGTGGCAGTAGTGGCAGTAGTGGCAGTAGTGGCAGTAGTGGCAGTAGTGGTAGTAGTGGTAGTAGTGGTAGTAGTGGTATAGTAGTGGTTGTAGTGGTATTAGTGGTAGTAGTCGTAGTAGTGGTAGTAGTGGTAGTAGTGGTAGTAGTGGTAGTAGTGGTAGTAGTGGTAGGAGTGGTAGGAGTGGTAGGAGTGGTAGGAGTGGTAGGAGTGGTAGGAGTGGTAGGAGTGGTAGGAGTGGTAGTAGTGGTAGTAGTGGTAGTAGTGGTAGTAGTGGTAGTAGTGGTAGTAGTGGTAGTAGTGGTAGTAGTGGTAGTAGTGGTAGTGGTGGTAGTAGTGGTAGTAGTGGTAGTAGTGGTAGTAGTGGTAGTAGTGGTAGTAGTGGTAGTAGTGGTAGTAGTGGTAGTAGTGGTAGTAGTGGTATTAGTGGTAGTAGTGGTAGTAGTGGTAGTGGGGGAGGGGGGTGGACTTGATTCAGACGAAGCAAACACGCGCAGCAAGAGAACAAAGGAACAAGTACAAACCAAGAACAGAACAAGAACAACACCTTCCAATCAGACACGCCGGCAGGCCGGCGGATTTTTTTGCGGGAAAGCCATCGATCGATGTTTTGTTTTAATTTTACCTTCCAAGATTTAAAGGTGTTCTCCCCATAGTTTTCAATCCCTTTTGCATGCTTCTTTTGAAGGTGGACTGATGGTCCACGGCTCTTAAGCAACATAAGTAAATGTGATGCCCCAAAATGTGCAAATTTGCCCAAAAACCCAACCCCGTGTTCTTCCAGAGCATGGCTCACATTTCTTGGTCGCATCAAACCTTGCCTTTCACACCTGGGCTGAACTGACTACAATGCAGTTTGCTGTTGTGAGACAGAAATTGTGTTTCTATTGTCATGTCGTGGATGCTTCCTCTCAGGTGTCATGCTCGGTGCAAAGCAGCTCTTTTGCAAATATGTCACTCCGCAGCGTTTCAGTACTTCCGGTTTTGGTGGCCGCTGGCCAAAAGAACATCAACGGACTTGGACGTGTCAATGGAACAGAACCGAGTGCACCACTGAACGCCGGGCGAAGCATCGCGGAGGCCAAAAGCGAAAATGTCTGGATGGAGGTGTGCATCAAGGTGGCTGCAGCAGCCTTGGTCTCGGTGCCTTGGAGAGTTTCTATGGGCAAGGGGCTTGGCTAAGAATTCCTGTTCCGACGCCTAAACAAGAGCGCTCCAACTAGGAAGGAAATCCGAGTCTTTACTGACCTCCAACAAAGCTGCAATTCAAAAAAATCCACTTTTGTATCTGTGGCAGTCCACTGGAAACATCAGGTGGTGGCTGTGGACAGCTTGTGGCTCTGCGTCGCCATCACCTTGGGGATGGCCCTGGTCATTGGCCTTGCGCAGCCCTTTGCTCAGCCGCAGATGAACGTCCTGCAGAGCGCCTGCTTCGCATGTGCCTGGCTGTGCATGTGGTGATTGGGTTCTGGACCACGGATTCAGTGCTGCCGGTTGATGATTGGCAAGGGCACGTGCCAGAGTTTGCTTGTCATAAGTGACAATCAGGACAGGCAAATCAGGCAAGCCTGGTGGAAACCCAGTGCAAGCTGTCAAGATCATTCTTGCCGAGACTATTGTCCTCGTGATGACTTAATCAAACATGTCGGGGATCAGGGCCACCACAGCCACGCTATTCCACTTAATCATCCTGAAAGCTCCCATGCTTCACTTTCAAAACCCTTCTCAGATGTTCCCAGAAGCCACTAACCATCTCCGACCTATCGAAATTATCCTTCTCTTTTCTATTTCACAATTTACTTGTCTTGCAAATAAGAAAAAGGGCCTCTTAAACGGCCTCAAGCTGATGAGCTGGATGATGATTTGTTCGTTGACTTTCAGCATTTTGGGGACCTGAGAATCTAATCCCATTGCATTTTCCGAGGCCTGGCCCTGGCAGCTGTCGGCTTCCGGCACCACATGGCCCTGGCGCGGCTGGCGCTGGCGGTGCCCTTCGTGCTGCTGGTGCTGCAGCTGCGGCGGCCGGATTCACCTGAGATGCTGGCATTGAGGCTGCAGCAGGAGACGCAGTGCAAGGTTTAGCTTTAAGGTTGGCTGTTGCTCAGAGATTGATTTGGTTGAGTTACCTTTTTGAGCCAGGTTTCAATACCAAGTTGGATGCCACACATTTGACATGTCAATGCCACCCTCATCACTTGATGGGGACTGTTCAATTTTTCTCCTCACATGGATGGATCAATGCCATGAATGGCCACATTGGTGGGAGCGTCCACAAGAACCCAAGTTTGAGCCATGGCAGCTATGGCCAGTTGGAAATTCTTGGACGGGAAGTCTGGAAATTCGCTCATAGACTCATAGACCAAAACCTCATTTGATTAATCTATGTTGTAGACGATTGCCTGCATGAATTGTAGTCTGAGCTACTCGTTGAGGTACAGAACTACACTTGGCTTGTCCTAAACGAGAGAAATTAGGCAAATTAGGCAGTTCACAACTCTTCATAATTCATAGAGTCATAGAGTTTGGCCGTTCAATCCTTTCCATATTGAGAAATTCAGTATTGAATAGTATTGACTGGTCAAACTATTCGGAATCTACTAGGTCTACGAAGGCTGTTCACGCTTGGAGTTTTATTGTTTAATTTGCAAAGCGAATCACAGGTTAGCGTCTTTAGATGTCTTAGAATCTCGTCCATGACTTGACCCGCCCAGGTGCTCGTGTTGGATAGACTTGGGACCCAGTAAATCCATGTAAGTCCCCAGCCCAGAGGCCCAGACACCCCGGGTATAAGCCATGCGATCTATGAGTCACATGAGTTATCGAAGCAGGTTGGAGATGGGCCAGGTTGCGGAGGTCCATCTGGAGAAACAAACAAGATTCCAGCAGCAAATGCTTGAAATATGCTTGGATATCTTGCGGTCTTAAATGATCAAACCTGATGGCCCGAAAATCGCCCTACTTGCCATACTTTGGTGATTTTCTTCATAAATTGGGGGCTCACCTCAACTTCATGACTTTCTTCAGATCCTTCCAGCATTTGTGGCGCTGACCTTGGGAAGAAAGCACTCAGCAATTCGCGGTACGCGCCTCGCATTTGACCCTACCCCAATAGTTTCGCATTTGACCCTACCCCCATTTTGGGGTAGGGTCGAATGTGAGAAAGTGGCGTTTTTAGCTGCGAAAAAAAGGTCCCGGAGATTGATCATAATGATGATGATGATGGTGATGATGGTGATGATGATGATGATGATGACGATGGACGATCATGATGATGGTGATGATGATGATGATGATAATGATGGTGATGATGTTGATTTCATACCAATGAACGTAATTGTTCAAGGGGGGCTGGTTGATTTGAGACCAATGAATGTACTTGTTCAAGGGGGGCTGGTTGATTTGATACCAATGAATGTACTTGTTCAAGGGGGGCTGGTTGATTTGAGACCAATGAACGTAATTGTTCAAGGCGGGCTGGTTGATTTGATACCAATGAATGTACTTGTTCAAGGGGGGCTGGTTGATTTGATACCAATGAATGTACTTGTTCAAGGGGGTCTGGTTGATTTGATACCAATGAATGTAATTGTTCAAGGGGGGCTGGTTGATTTGATACCAATGAATGTACTTGTTCAAGGGGGGCTGGTTGATTTGATACCAATGAATGTAATTGTTCAAGGGGAGCTGGTTGATTTGATACCAATGAACGTAATTGTTCAAGGGGGGCTGGTTGATTTGATACCAATGAATGTACTTGTTCAAGGGGGGTCTGCTTGATTTGATACCAATGAATGCAATTGTTCAAAGGGGGGCTGGCTGATTTGATACCAATGAATGTAATTGTTCAAGGGGGGCTGGTTGATTTGATACCAATGAATGTAATTGTTCAAGGGGGGCTGGTTGATTTGATACCAGTGAATGTACTTGTTCAAGGGGGTCTGGTTGATTTGATACCAATGAATATAATTGTGTAAGGGGGCTGGTTGATTTGATACCAATGAACGTAATTGTTCAAGGGGGGCTGGTTGATTTGATACCAATGAATGTACTTGTTCAAGGGGGGCTGGTTGATTTGATACCAATGAATGTACTTGTTCAAAGGGGGTCTGCTTGATTTGATACCAATGAATGCAATTGTTCAAAGGGGGGCTGGTTAATTTGATACCAATGAATGTACTTGTTGAAGGGGGGCTGGTTGATTTGATACCAGTGAATGTACTTGTTCAAAGGTGGTCTGGTTGATTTGATACCAATGAATATAATTGTGTAAGGGGAGCTGGTTGATTTGATACCAATGAACGTAATTGTTCAAGGGGGGCTGGTTGATTTGATACCAATGAATGTACTTGTTCAAGGGGGGCTGGTTGATTTGATACCAATGAATGTAATTGTTCAAAGGGGGGCTGGTTGATTTGATACCAATGAATGAAACTGTTCAAGGGGGGCTGGTTGATTTGACACGAATGAATGTCTAAGGTTTAAAAGGGGGGCTGGTATGATTTGAATCCAATATGTACTTGTTCAAAGGGGGTCTGCTTGATTTGATACCAATGAATGCAATTGTTCAAAGGGGGGCTGGTTAATTTGATACCAATGAATGTACTTGTTGAAGGGGGGCTGGTTGATTTGATACCAGTGAATGTACTTGTTCAAAGGTGGTCTGGTTGATTTGATACCAATGAATATAATTGTGTAAGGGGAGCTGGTTGATTTGATACCAATGAACGTAATTGTTCAAGGGGGGCTGGTTGATTTGATACCAATGAATGTACTTGTTCAAGGGGGGCTGGTTGATTTGATACCAATGAATGTAATTGTTCAAAGGGGGGCTGGTTGATTTGATACCAATGAATGAAACTGTTCAAGGGGGGCTGGTTGATTTGACACGAATGAATGTACTTGTTCAAGGGGGGCTGGTTGATTTGATACCAATTAATGTAATGAATGTACTTGTTCAAGGGGGGCTGGTTGATTTGATACCAATGAATGTACTTGTTCAAGGGGGCCTGGTTGATTTGATACCAATGAATGTACTTGTTCAATGGGGGCTGGTTGATTTGATACCAATGAACGTAATTGTTCAAAGGGGGGCTGGTTGATTTGATACCAATGAATGTACTTGTTCAAGGGGGGCTGGTTGATTTGATACCTAATGTAACGTTAAATTGTTCAAAGGGGGGTTGATTTGATACCAATGATGTAATTTGTTCAAGGGGGCTGGTTTGATTTTGATATGAATGAATGTCAACTTGTTCAAGGGGGGCCTGGTTAATTTGATACCGATTGAACTTGTGATTGTTCAAGGGGGCTGGTTGTATTGGATACCAATGAGGTACTTGTGTCAAGGGGGTGGCTGCTATGTTTGATACCAATGAATGTACTTGTTCAAGGGGGCTGGTTGATCTGATACCAATGAATGTAATTGTTCAAAGGGGGGCTGGTTGATTTGATACCAATGAATGTAATTGTTCAAGGGGGGCTGGTTGGTTTGATACCAATGAATATAATTGTGCAAGGGGGGCTGTTTGATTTGATACCAATGAATGTACTTGTTCAAGGGGGGCTGGTTGATTTGATGCCAATGAATATAATTGTGTAAGGGGGGCTGGTTGATTTGATACCAATGAATGTACTTGTTCAAAGGGGGGCTGGTTGATTTGATACCAATGAATGTACTTGTTCAAGGGGGGCTGGTTGATTTGATACCAATGAATGTACTTGTTCAAGGGGGGGTTGGTTGATTTGATACCAATGAATGTAATTGTTCAATGGGGGCTGGTTGATTTGATACGAACGAATGTACTTGTTCAAGGGGGGCTGGTTGATTTGATACCAATGAATGTAATTGTTCAAGGGGGGCTGGTTGATTTGATACCAATGAATGTACTTGTTGAAGGGGGGCTGGTTGATTTGATACCAATGAATGTACTTGTTCAAGGGGGGCTGGTTGATTTGATACCAATGAATGTACTTGTTCAAGGGGGCTGGTTGATCTGATACCAATGAATGTAATTGTTCAAAGGGGGGCTGGTTGATTTGATACCAATGAATGTAATTGTTCAAGTGGGGCTGGTTGATTTGATACCAATGAATGTAATTGTTTCCAGGGGGTCTGGTTGATCTGATACCAATGAATGTAATTGTTCAAAGGGGGGCTGGTTGATTTGATACCAATGAATGTAATTGTTCAAAGGGGGGCTGGTTGATTTGATACCAATGAATGTAATTGTTCAAGGGGGGCTGGTTGATTTGAGACCAATGAATGTGAACCGGGAAAAGCGGGGTAGGGTCGAATGTGAACCGGGCAATATTGTTTTTTCCTGGAAGGGTTGCGTATTTTTGGTGGGGTAGGGTCGAATGTGAGGGTGCGTGCGGTTCTTGTGGAGTAGGGTCGAATGTGAGGCTGCGGTAGGGTCAAATGTGAGGTCTGTACCCAATGCGCCAGAGGAGTTGGAGGCCAAGATCCACGAGGGGCCCGTAGAAGTCAGCGCTGAGCAGTTTACGTAAGGATCCAACGGACCTCGCAGGCGTGGCACCAAATTTGATTCTCTGGCGGCTTTTCCCGAAGGGCTCGGCGGACATGGTAGGTCAGGGAGCCAACATGAGTCGACTAGTTGATGACTGTCAAAATGACATAGTCCCAGAGAACAGACATGTTTCCTTCATCTTCCTTCCGCATCAGGCAGATCTTCACGGATGAAATTGGAACCTTTCGTCTTGGAATGGAAAAAAGTCGTGGCAGCTCTGCATGGCAGCTTGTTGCAGTTGTTGACCAACAGTCTTGGTGAGGATGCATCAATCCATGCATTTTGCCGACCTTGGTTCATGTTCACATGTTCACAGCAGTAGCCGATCCATGAGGGTCTGAATTAGCTGGAGTGGCCGCCCCCAGGCCGAGCGGGTCATTGTAGTCGGTGACGGGTGGTAATGGAATCGCTGGATCCGGGTGATGAAGGTCTTTGGGATCCAATCTTTCGATCCGAGGTCGGGGGGTCGCATGTACACGCGGGCAAGTTCGCAACTACACGCGAATAGGAGACGTGCATTTTTTTCTTGTAAAATACAATGAAAATCGAAACTTGTGGTATATGTGCTGTTTCTATCTGCAGCCATGCGTGGAAGTTGGTTTAAGCAGGCTATCTGTGCGGCCATGGTCGCAACTACACGCGAATAGGAAACGTCTTTAATGTACGTTATCTATTTATGTATCTTTCTATCTAGCTAGCTAGCTATCTATGTATGTATTTACCTGCTTATCTATCTCTCTATCTCTCTATCTCTCTATCTCTCTATCTCTCTATCTGTCTATCTATCTATCTATCTACCTATCTATCTATCTATCTCTCTATCTCTCGATCTCTCTATCTCTCTATCTGTCTATCTATCTATCTACCTATCTATCTATCTATCTATCTATCTATGCGAATAGAGTGTAGGCTACGGATCAAGTATAATATCACAACTAAACACTCTGTGATCCAGCACCAAAGGGGCAATCCGAACTGGCCTCTTTGGCTCAAGACCCACTGCAGCACTGGAGAAAAGATCAGCAATGCGGAAGCAGCTGCCCGTGTGACGTCGTCGAACTGGAACATTTATCCTCAACATCAACCATTGGAACATAATCGGGTAGGCAATCCCCGATTCGCAGGTTATCAGCCGTAGGACTCCTACGGAGCCTGCGAGCGGGGAGCCGCGGGCCTTACAGATGACTGAACAGGATAGCAGCGATAATGCATTTTCTTTCTCTGGACATGCCGTTGCACCAGCTGCCGGCACGCAGTCAAATTCTTCACAGAGTATCGACACTGGTGGAAGCGATGCCTCAGAACTGAGAACAAGCCAACCCAGGCGACCTCTGGTTGCTCCTAGAGGGAGACAAATTTCGACAATGCAAGCAATTGAAGATAGGGACAGCACACCTGGAAAGAGAAGATCATCTGCACGACAATTGTCGCCTCCGATGACTCCAAGGACTAAGGCAAAGACTACGTCGTCGAATCCGCCTTCACCGATTCAGGACGCTACTCCATCAGGGACAGGATCTTATCAGCAAGTGAATGCCCCGTCAAGTGGTAGCGACATCTTCACTGCCTATCAGAGTGAATTAACTGAGTACAAAACGTCACTGGAAAGGGCCACTGAAGAAGAATCTGTACTTCAGGCAAGATTGAGTGAGACGACAGCATATGCCTATCAACAATTTAATTTCCTGGAAAGCACCACTCATCAAGAGATGATGTCGATGACCGAACAACTCCAGATGCTGAACTTCGAGTTACAGGCTGCACAACAGGAAGATGAAGGTGCGACCTACAGGATCGAAGAGTTGGAAAGGTATCAGACTATGTCGAATGAAGCTGCATCTCATTTGGAATTCAAATATTCATGACTACGTTCGGAATTCGATGAACAAATGGGACAAGCAAACGCAATTATGGTACGTGTGGGAACTGACGCGAATGCTCACATCAATCAACTCAGACTGGAACTGGAAAACGCAGAGATGAATGCCAAGCAAGAAGCTCTAGCAGTCGGCTATGCTAATGACCAAACATGTGCTTTGCAGATCGAGATGCTCGAGGTTGCCAATCAGAACCAGACGATGAAGCACACCATGGCCATGAATGTCAGGCGACTGGAAACTGAGTTAGATGCTGCTGACATGAAGAGGGACGAGATCATGAAGGAGTTCCGTAGTAACATAAGATCTGAACATGACCGTTATGCAGAATGTGAACATCACTTAGCTTTGGAAGAATCGCAACTTCGATTGCAGGTGATCCACAATGAGAACTTACAATCTCGACTAGCGATTTCTGAGAACAGGGTTTCTGAAGAATCTCTAGCTGAATCAGGTGGCATGCGGGACATGAGGATCATGGGACTACGTTCTGAACTACACATGAAACAAAGTCTTTTAGATCGAATGCAACAGCAACTGACTGAATCGAAGAATCAGTATCATGAACTTTCCTGTCAACAAGCCAGAAGATCTTCACCAAGCAGATCACCGCATGGAGGACCTCTATACGAGATGTACATGCAAGCCGTGCGTGAACGTGACAGCTTGAAAGAATCCAAGGCCGAAGTTGACAAGTTGTACTTGCAGAATAGATCTGAACTCATTGACACCGAGGACCTGCTCAAAGTCTTCCAGCGAAACTTTGATGAAACTGGTAAGAAATATCAAGATGCTCTGAACAAGATCGATCACATGAGCAACAATCCGAATGTGACGAGTACCTTGTTTGACAGTTTGCACAATGAACTCAATGACAGGGATACAGCTATTGCTCGCCTTCATACCGAACTTGAAGCCCAAAAGGACTCTCTTGAGCGTGCTCACAGGGATGCAGGTAAGTCCATCAAGATGTTGAACGACAGAAGACTCGTGATCAAAGGTGCGACTGACTATTCCATTCCTGAAAGCCATTTGACCGAGATGCATCAATTGGCCAATGAGCGTTACGCTGAGGTAGAAGAAATGTCGAGCACCATTGCTGCCCTGAAGTTGGAAAACCAAGCTCATTCTTCTTCATCAATGAATAGACCGACTACATTACATGGGCACCCCAGTAATGCCATGCCTCGGAATGAATGTGAAGAGAAGTGTGCCAAACTGAAAGCAGAGTTGGACGAGATGAAGCAAGAGAGGAACGCTGAAGTTCGAAACCTTCAAGATGAGTTGAAGAAGATGGAAGATCGTAAAGATTACTATAAGAACAATTTCTCTCAAGCTGAAGATCGTGCCAATGATGAAGAGCAGGAATATCGAGCAGAAGCTGAAGCCTTCGAGAAGCTCAGGAACGAGTACAACACAAATGTCAAGGAGTTGGAGAACCTTGAAAGGGATAGATCCAAGTCATCTGTATCTCTAAGAGAAGCCGAAAAGATCAGCCTCCAACCCTGGCCTAAGACCACTGAACTTTCATCCTGGAAGGGAAGTGTCGTTCATGAAGTTTGCGTTGCAAGTGGAGATCGAAACTATGAAGATTGGAAGGCGTGGTTAGCTCCATGTCTTGCAGATCAACCTGACTTGGAGGCGCTGGCCAAAGCTCCTGATGTGAGATTCCAATCCATTGATGCCAAGCTCTCCAATGCCTTGAGGAAAGTCATTGACAATGCTGGGGACAAGTCCATGCAGGTGAAGTATGACATGTCCATGAAGAACCAGTTGTATGGGAGAAGTGGGGACTTCATCAAGGGACGAGAACTATTTGCAATGATATTGATTAGCTTCAAGTCACCTGACCACACTGAAGTTCTCTACAATGCCCATCATTTGTATATGTTCAACTACTATGGAGACGACCAACTTGAGGCCTTCTACAACAAGTGGCTTGACATCGTATACAATATGAAACATGATGATCTGCCTTCCAACAATTCCCTGCGTGACACATTGTTCCGGAAGATTGAACATTCAAAACTTATGGCCTTCGATGTCAACCGATACAAAACCTTTGATGAAGGGCATCATGAGAAGACCTATGCTTACCTAACTGGTATGATCAAGGGATACATAGCACGAGGGAAGCAAGAACGACTGTTGAAAGATAGAGAACGTGCAGTGAAACTGTCATTGTCCTCTAACAAGACGACACCTGCCTTAGATGATGCAGACAAGCCTGCCGCTCCCGTCAAGACCAAGAAGGAGAATGAAGCGGCTGCATCGTCTACAGGTGATCCTCCCAAACGTCCTAAGGCGAAAGCGAAGAGTGAAGCTGCATCGGTACTTCCTACACCTTCTCCGAAATCCCATGCCGACAAGAACAACAAGAAAGGCAAAGGTGGGAAGGGAAGATCATCTTCACCCGTTGACAAGAAGAAGATTTTCTGTAACTACTTCTTCAATAAAGGAGGATGCAACAAAGGTGACAAATGTCTTTACAGTCATTCTCAGAAGGTCTATGATGCCAAGATGAAAGGTAAGAAAAGCAGAAGCGGAAGTCGAGATTCATCAAGAGGGAAAGGTAGAGGAAGTTCATCTTCAGCTGGACCCAAAAAGAAGGTATGTTGGAATTGGCAAGAAGGTACCTGCAAGTTCGGAAACAAATGTAAATTCCTACATGCAGATAAATCGCCTTCAGCATCCTCAGAGAGAACCAGCAAGAAGACATCAAAGAAGAAGGCGACTCCCATTACCATTGATTCCTTCTTTGATAGCGACAATGAAGATTCCATGGATTATACCTCACCGAGGATAGCCAGTGCAAAGAAGTCTTCTGATGATCGCAGGATCTCATTTGATCTGGAACCTGAGGTGCACGAGATCGCCATTGAGGACTACCAGGAGGGACTACCCAAACGTATGTATCGTGACCCCAACAAGCAATATGTTTTCTGGAAAGTCGATGATTTGACCGACGATCAGTCCAAGTCCGACAACACCCTCGGTTCAGTCCGGGCACGGGCCAAGGCTATCATCATGGACAGATGTGGACTTCATCGTTTTGTTGATGAAGTTAGAATCATTATTGGCCCCAAATTCGACATGTTGATCAAACTGGACAATGATCGTGATGACTTGACTTTTATTGAAGAGCTTGTTGAACACGAAGTTGGAAACTCCCTCATGAAGTCCAAGAACGTGATGTGCATTTCACTACCAGTGCAAGCCAAAGATCGTAGATTCATCCTGGATTCTGGCAGCGGGCATGATCTGATTTCTGCAAGGAAAGCCGAAAGGATGAACTTGAAGCAGCGAACTTGTGATCCTATCATGTTCCACACAGCCAACGGTTCAACTGCTACTCAGACAGAAGCAGAGATTGACCTGGGAACCTTTGATGTGACCTCTCATGCCTATGTACTGGACGACACTCCGTCTGTGATGTCTCTTGGGCAACGATGCATGGAAGAAGGATATTCCTTTGTATGGCCATCTGGTCAAATGCCTTTCATGATTACGAAGAATGGAGAACGCATCGATTTGACAATCCATGACAACATCCCCTACGTTGATCTTGGAACTT